GGAGAGAGAGAGAGAGAGAGAGAGAGAGAGAGAGAGAGAGAGAGAGAGAGAGAGTGAGTCAGTCTCCTGTCAGGTGAGTGTGCAAATTCGCTTGGCCTTTTGCAGTTGTGCCTACGAAAACTCGGCAACTGCGGGGCCATGTTGCAAAGCTGGGCAGCGTCCGGTATGGGTACTTTGCAAAGATGGAGTCCAGCTGATGGCTGGGGTGTTTCGCAAAATGTTTTTGTCATTGTCCTTCGTGGTCCACTTGTTTAAGAAAAGAAGATTAAGCTGGTGTGAAGAAGCCAAGGGAGCGGTGGACGAGTTTGGGCATACAATGGCTAACGATGTCTCCGGCTGAATCAGGCATATAATCAGTGACACACTTGGACTTTTCACACCGAATATAGATGTGACTTTGGGCATATACATCGTTAAAGGAATAGTTTAAGGATGCACCTGCGAAGTGAAGTGGCAAGCACTAGTAGAGGGTAAGCTCTCTGCCGACACAGCCAAGGTGCGATGAACACTCATAGCAATAAAGTGAAGCTGCAAATAGACAAGGAAGAAGGGGGAGGACGAAGGACTAGTATAAAACCCCGAGCGCATCAGCTCGTGAAAAATATCATTGAAGCACAAGAAAAGATGGTGTTGCCGCCATAGCATGAAAACTGGCGATGAGCCCGACAGCTGTTTCGTCCGGCTCGCCAACCGGAACTCCTCAGGGGCGCGCTTGGTGTGTTGCACAGGACACAACCTAGCTGTCTTCCCTACCTTTTGGTTTTTGGTTTTTGGTTTTTGGTTTTCCCCTTGGTGACTTTATATTTTATGTCCTTTTCAATCATTTTGTTGCTGCCTTCTTATGTCTGGAGTTTGTTTTTCATTTTCTTCTGTACGTTTGCGCAGACGGACGAGGGTTCCCAACCGATGGTCAGATTGTGGATTGTGCCAATTAAAGGTGATGCTCTGAAGGATGCTGAAGTTGTGAAATACATTGACCAATTTAATAAAAGCATGGTGAAAACGGATCCTCCTGCCTACAGGCTGCTGAATTCCACACGACCAAAAGACTGGGAGATGTTTCCATCGACAGGTGCGTKTGGTTAAGCAGTGCTTACATAATTTTTTATTTGGTGCAATGTTGCAATCAATGAAGCCCGAAATTGCGGATAGTCAAGTAAGGGATGTCTCCACATAATCACATACCCTTTGACATCCTAGCAAAGTGTGCTGCGGTGTCTCGTCTCTGTGTTTTGCGCTGTTGCTGTATTTTGAAGCTATATACACATGCTCATGGAGAGAGAGAGAGAGAGAGAGAGAGAGAGAGAGAGAGAGAGAGAGAGAGAGAGATGGCAGACAGACAGACAGAGAGCCCTGTTCTAGTATGCCGTGGTGAACGGCAGGACCACTCGATTCTACACAAGTTCAATGGTGGCCAGTTTTGGAATGTATACAACGGTTACAACTTCGATGACAGCGCATTTTCGAATGTATACAACTTCAAAGACAGTGCGTTTTCAAATGTATACAACTCTCGTTTGAGGTCTGATACAGTCATGATGAGGGGAGATGTGAACTTCATCGACAGCGATTTCGAATGTGTAGCCCCCTTCCCCCTCTGTACCGCATTCTACGCATGCCACATTCATATATCTTCTGTTCGAGCATAATACCCAGTCGTACCATTCGAAGAAAAGACTAACGAATGTGACTTTATTTTGGGCACTATTTTTGGGTGAAGACAGTGGCTTTTGCCTCTGTTTTTTTATCTGCTTTTTATCGTACAGGTTTTTCTTGCTCATCCTGCACCAGATATCCCTATCATATCCTCTCTCCCTTGTTCACCCCACAGTTTGCCCGTCATTTTCTTTTTACCTGGTCCGTAGGACCATTTTTTTTACTGGATGGTATACTCAGTTGGTTAGCCTGCTTTTGCCCCATAGTAACCCATAGGGCCTAATTCTGTTCGACCCATACCACCCCATGGTGCCCATGTTTTGTTTATCACATTGTACAAACGACAGTGAAGCAAAAAGCATGAGGCAACAAGACATTCGGCGACAAGCAACAGCAAGGGACAGGCTAGACGGTAGACGGGAGTTGAGTGGGCACACAAGCAGCGCAAGCCAAGAAACAAAGACCAAAAAAAAGTACAAGTACCACACTGAGCAGCTGACAAGCAACAGTGAAACAAAGAGCATGATGCAACAAGATATCGGGCAACAAGCGACATCAATGGACATTAAAAAAAAAACTTAAAAAACGACATCGATGGACATAGGCTGGCGGGTGGACGGGAGGAGGGTGGGCAGACAAACAGCACAGGGCAAGAAACAAAGACCGAAAAGAAATAAAACCATACATGCGGCGCCTCACGTTCGCGCAAGTTGCGCACGTGTGCCGCATAGCGCACGTGCGCACGTGCGTGCGTACGTGATGCGGCACAATTACGAATTAAAAAAAAAAAATCAGAAGGGCAGGCTGTGGTAAGCAAATGTCTGCCTCCCTAAAAGATATAATTTAGGGCCACATCGTACTCCTCATTCGGCCTAGTCTCTTTTCCAATGGGTCCCCTGCAAAGAATTAGCAGGGATCCCATGCATTTGCAAGAACACTCATCGAACTGCTGGAGGAACACAACCAGGCCAGAATTATATTCTGGATTCGGATGCAGGTCTGCATTCCAAGAGTTATGGGTTACGAGCAGTGACCTTAAGGGCCTCGCTCCACTCATCAGCACTTGCACAAAAGAAAAACATATGGCTTGTACGGTTCCAGTTTCTAGGAGAAGATTCATTCTAGTTTTGCACATTTGGTGAGTAGTGGAGTGAAGCCCTGAAAATCACATGCCGAGTTACTAAATCAGTTATCCATAACTGCTGAAACACGGAGCTGAATTTGAAGCTACACCATATATAGCAGGCCTCTCCCTCCTTACTACAACCCCAGCGACTATCCTTCTCCTGTAAATCAGAGCCCTTTCACAGTATACGGGCAGGGGGTTTCTGAATACTGTGAAAGGGCTCTCTCTCTCTCTCTCTCTCTCTCTCTCTCTCTCTCTCTCCAGCATGAATCCACGCATCACAGTTGCTTTTTTTTTTTTTTTTTTTTTTTTTTTTTTTTTTTTTTGTGCACGCCCGCGCACGCATCTGCGAATCTGCGATGAGCGCAGCGTGCCAGCAGGCTGAAGCCTCGACAATCTGTGGAATCCCCATATTGATGCTTTGGGCCATGAACCCTTTGACCCTAGTTGAAAGCAGGCTGCCAGCAGGCAACAATCCAGTGAAGCACCAGGCAACGCTGCTGGGGCAACCCAACTGCAAAGTGTCAACAGTGACTGCAGGGAAGGACAGTGCAAGCGGACTGGCAGCAAAGCCGTCCAAGACGTACTCACACCACAAGAGGATCCCCGCAGACTGTTGGTTCCCAACTCCCCAGGAAGCCACTACGGCGGACATCTACAATCACCCATACACCATATGCACCACAGATGTCACATCGGGAACACCCCCCCTGAGAGTGCTGCGGGCACTCCAAACAACCGACCAGCGACTGTTTAGCGCTTCTTAAAGGTGCTCACCTGGACGCACGCACACAATAATTCCAAAGAGGAAAGACGTACAGAAAACTGATTTTGTGTGTGTGTGTGTGTGTGTGTGTGTGTGTGTGTGTGTGTGTGTGTGTGTGTTAGTCAAGATTCCCAAACTCTCTTTCTCAATCCATCCCCATCACAAATGATCCATAAAAAAAAAAATGTATAGATAAGCAATATAATAGAAGTTGCAAGGTTCCCCGTGTCTGTTTGTTTGTGTGTGTGTGTGTGTGTGTGTGTGTGTGTGTGTG